AAACCCGATAATTATAATTTTTTTCCCCCCCTCTGGAAGGGAGGAAAAAAAGGTGTTGGAATGTGCACTAGCGCACGTTTTTCCAATACTCCTTTACTAAATTTTCTTTGTGAGAAAATTAATTTTTTTTCTCTAATTCAGGGGAGCTGTTTGACTCGCATCCTTTTCTCTCTCCCTTAACTCATATTCCTGTCCTTTGCCCTTTCCAAGTTCCCCTTTAAATTTTAAATTGTTCCTCACGACTCTATTCTTTTTTCAGATCAAGTCATCACCCTTTTTTTCTTCCTCTCCCCTTTCAACTGTCTTTCTTGATTTCCTCTCAATTTTCTCTCTCTCCTTTTTCTCCTGTCTTTTTAAGGTTCTCTTTCCCTTTTACCTCTCTTTTTCTTTCGTCTTTTTTGATTCTCCTCTCTATTCTTTTTCTCCTCCTTATTCTCTTTTCTTTCAATTCTCTCTCTCTCTCTTTTAAGTCTTTCCCGGGTCTTAAACTAAGAAAAAAATTTTAAATTTTTCCCTATTATTTTCTAAATTTCTTCCAGCATCTCCAAACTGGTACCTCCATGTTGCAAAATAATTAACTATCGGGAAAGAAACGGGGGTTTAAAAAAAACAGGGGTTTAATTCCTGCCCGCTCAAACTATAAATAAACCAAGAGGGGGTCACCCCTGCTTTTAATTAAACAATATGTATTAATTAAAAAAAAGGGTTCTATGCTCTCCGAGCAAACAGTAAGTAAAAAGGGGCACTTGACCATCCAAACTCCACCAACAAACAAGAGTGTCCTAGACAGTTCCCTTTATATAATAAAGAGCTCAATGAAAAAAATTTTCACTGAAAATCCGGGGGCCCTAAATCTAATCCCCAAATGTTTCAAAACCAAAAAAATAAATGCGGAATTAACTATTTCCCCTTTACTTGACTTACAATAAATTTTAACCTAACAACCCAATCTTTAAATACCGTACGTTCCTACCATAGAGAATGATTACTCAGGCTGGGGTAACCGCTGTGTATGCGGGGGTTGAAATTCCAAAAGGTAAATTTAGGTGGAATTGAATCTTGATTCAAGAGTTATCCTGGCAAGGTCGCCATTGAAGGCTTACCCACTCTGAACAACTTCAGACGTATTACCAAAGCTGGGTCCCCCAAAAATTAAAGAATAAAAAAGAAATAAAACAGACAAACAAAAAACCCTTTATTTTTATAAAAATATAAAAAAAAAAACACTTAAATATGAAATACAGTATTAATCCTACATTAAAGAAAAAAAAAATGAAAAATTAAAAGATAACGAAAACAACGCTAATAAAAACTTGGGGGTCTGGTGTTTGACACGCTTGCTAAAATCGACCCTTTCCCATGATGTGGGGAGGGGGTCGCAGGGTTGGTTTTCAACCCACTGGGTTTCTTCACATATACCTGAGATTTTATCCCGATGCAGGAAAGCAGGGCTTTAAAAGCTCAATGATGAGGGGTTACGTCCTGCAATTTCATACAGGTACAGGTAAAAAATCCAAAAAGGGGAATCTCGGGCATTCGTCCACTCCCTCACTCTACTTTGTTGGGAGGTGACCTCTCTGTCATCCAACGGGAAAAATAGACAGGTTCCCCTGCTTTAAAAATCATCTCCAAGATAAGTACAATACCTAAAAGATGTGGGGATTATTACAACACAACTTTAAGCAAAAAGAAAGGGCTAAGTTTATTATTGGTCAAAAGTGAAGCTTTTAAAACCCAAAAACCACTAAATACAAGGCAGGGGTGTACACAGTAGTGCTGGGGACGTGACTTGATTTCGTTTGGACCAAGCCCCCCCACGTCAAACCTTTTGGGGGGGGGGAGAAGGGGGGGAAAAGGAAACGGGAGCTAACTTACCCACCTTTCAAGTCCGGCAGAAACTATCACTTTTTGGGGAGGGGAAAAAAGCGGGAATAGCGGGGGCTTACTTACCCTACCCTTAAAAGTACCGGGAATGAAACAAATTTTTACTATAACTCCTCGCCCCTACTTTGAACTTTTTTCCCCACAATATTCCACCATTTTTTTTAGTATATGCCCGTATTAATAAGTTTCCCATTTGGGGAAACATCATATTAATAAATAACTTCTTTGTTAAAGACAGGACCCCCGGTTTTCATCCTAATCCATCCCGAAGGGCGGGGTGAAATCCGAAAAGGATGAAAACCGAAGTAACATTTCCCCTAATAAATAATGAAATCTTTACATACGAAAACAAAAAAATAAAAAGACTAAGAAATGGAAAAATAAAAATTTAAATCGCTTTTTACCTTCATTGAAGATCTTCTTTTTTTTGGGAAAACAGCGAGGGGGGAAGGGAGGAAAGGTTACCACCACCATCCACCACCCTCTACCACCATCACAACCACACCACCCTCTACCACCATCACAACCACTACCCCCCTCTACCACCATCACAACCACCCCCTACCGCCATCACTACCACCCTGTCCACTACCTAAACCCCCTCACCACCACATTTCCACCCCTCCACCACACTCTACCCCCCCACCATCACTACCCCCTCCCACAACCTACCCCCTCAAAACCCCCACCACCATCCTCTACCACCCTTTCGTAACAAAAGCAACTGAGCATGTAATTGAGGGAGCCCACCCGGGCAGCGGGCGCATCTCAACAGACATTCAAACAAGGTACAAACCCGGGGTAAAAATCGCCGAAGAAAATGGGCGAAATCCGAATTGAAAATATCCGACCGTCGAAAACTAGGGGGGCCACTGTACCTTGTTTCCCCAATTTTTTTAAAGCACAATATATTCCTTTAACACCTGATAAATTACAAATGTAAAAAAAGAAAAAAAATTTTTACAAGACCGCTGATTAAACAGTAGTTAGGTTCCTGAAAATGCGTTTAGCGAATCAGGTTTTTAAAGGAAAATGATAACATAAAACTTTTGGAAAAAAAAAAAAAAAAAAGGTTCATTCCTGGATCCCCCCTTTTAAAACCAAACAACTTTTTTTTTAGGTCTCCAATTTTTTTGCAAATAAAAATGATAATGCAATTGTTGTTCACACTGTCATTATGTATGCTTTTTTGTGTTGTTCAAGGCTACAAATGCAAACAAAATAATATCTCTTACCTTAAATTGTGGTTGCCATTGTTTGTTGATGATTGTGAAGGAGGGAGTGGAGAAGCATGCTGAGGCCCATCTGGGCTGAGGTGGATGGTAGTCCAGTCAGTAAGTCAGTCCAGTCAAGTGAGCCAGCAGGGCAGTCAGTCAAGTCAGTACATTCACTTTAGTAGATCAGTCACTTTAGTAAATCAGTCAAGTCACTCAGTAAATCAGTCAATTCAGTAGGTCAGTCAGTAATTAAGTAAATCAGTTGTCATTAAATAAATCAGTCAAGTCAGTAGGTCAGTAAGTCAGTCAAATCATTCAGTAAGAAAACGGCAATCAAGGAAGCTGTTCTTGCCAAAGGTGCAACTATGTTTTCGAAACTGAGATCACAAGTACTCGAAGATGTTGAGAGACTGTTATTGGTGTAGATAAATGAAAAACAGATAGCAGGAGATAGCATCTCTCAAGCGATCATATGTGAAAAGGCTAGGAAGTTGCATGATGATTTAATTAAAAAAAATGCCAGCAACTAGTGGTGATGTGAGTGAATTTAAGGCCAGCAAAGGTAGGTTTGAGAGATTTAAAGGGAAGGGAAGTAACCCCAGAAAAGGACTTGCCACCTCAAGTCCTAATGGAAGGGGATTCCCCTTCTAAACACTAAGACCATCAACACTCTCCCCTCCTCCCATCCCATCAATCATCACCTGATCTTCAATAAAGGTAAGTGTCATGTAACTGTGCATGTCTTCTTCAGTTTGTGTGTATTAAAATTAATATTTCATGTGGTAAAAACAATTTTTTTTCATACTTTGGGGTGTCCTACACGGATTAATTTGATTTCCATTATTTCTTATGGGGATAATTAACTTGACTAACGATAATTTTGACTAACAATGAGCTCTCAGGAATGGATTAATAGCGTTAGCCGAGGGTCCACTGTATATATTAGAGCTGATTTCCTCTATTCTGCTTATTACAATATAAAGTACACTACTGTATAAACATTTGAAAATATACCAGAAATGTTATAAATGGTGCAAAGATGACAGTAAAACAATATCAAAGATAGATGACACAAACCCACTATCATATGTAGTATGCTCCTCACTTAACGACGAATTCGTTTACCAACATGGTATTTGGAACGGAACTCCGTCGCTGAAGAGAGGCTGCATTTGCTTCACTCTTTTTAATCATACTGATGCTTCATTAAAGCCAAAAGCTCTCATCATGTCCACCACACAGGCACCACATTTAAGCTTATCTAATATCTTGATTTTCTTCATAATTCCAAGACTTAATTTTTTTTACTTTGAATTGCCACTTCCTGCATCACTTGCATGCCTCCTGGGTGCCATGGTACCTTGGCAGATGCAATGTATGCTAATGAAAAGACCAAAACCCGATTCAGAGACAATGCTGGGTACTGCACTGGACAGGTATATACTGAGCACTGGTACAGAGGTGGCAGGGTAGGAAACTAGGACCTACCCCATAAAAGACAATGGCTTGACCCACAGGCAGACTGCCTAGCACTCACTACAAAGAGGGAAACATCCCTGCTGTCCAGCTTGTGGCGCTGAAATTTTTTTCTTACTGAGAAGCAGAATCGTTTAAACTGAATTTTATGAAGTATAAAACGAAAATATGCTGCAATTTTGATAATAGTGTAACGGAGAAAACGTTTTAAAGGAAACTGCTTTAATTAACGGTCTACTGTAATTTTTTTTTTTCCAGGTCACACTGCCTCAGTGGGAGATGCTTGGAATGCTGAAAAAGAAGTATTCCCATATACAGTAGTGTAAATTTATTGAGATATTGTATTAATCCACGTGCTGATACATCCTGCACAAACTGATATTACCTTGAACACAACCTACTGAATTACCAATCTGTACTCACCTCTAACTTTGTCCCAAAGTTCTCCAACAAATTTCTCTACTGCACTATCTATCGGAATTTCTTCTTTGAGCTCTGCCAACACATGACTCTTATTGGGTAGTCGGTTTGTTATAAGTATGAGATATTCAGCAACAGTGGAGTCACTCATTCCCATAACATCATGCAGTCGATGACTAACCCATGACTTCAGGCGCCCCCCCATCTTGTACGTACTTAGACTGAAAAAGTGCATATGTAAAATATTTTTTTAGAAAAAAAAGGCAATATAACATGATAATTCCCTGTACCCCAACAAAAAAACCAAATTTAAAGTGAAAGACTATTAAAATTCCCCCTTTTCTATACGGATTTATTTGCACATTTTTTAATCCCAAAAAGGTAAAACGAATCACCCTGAATGACTTCCATTTTTTTTTTTTTTAATATTCTTTTGGAATTGATCCCCAGGAAACCTTGTCAGGGGTGAGATTTTAGCCATTAACTACGCTGCACCCCCCCCTTTTTACCAGCGTCCCACCCCTTTATATGCTGTACCCTATCTTACTATGCTGTACACTATTCTACTACTGCTGCCCCACTATCTCTACTACTGTTTGCTCCACCACTCTACAAATGTTTTCCCCACCTTCCTTTGTTGCTAATCACCTTACTATGCTGCTCCCACCACCTCTAAAACTGCTACTACCTTTTCACCTCTACTACGGCGCTACCCCACCTCTACTACGTGCTCCCCCCCTTTTCCCTACTACTGTCCCACCCTCACAACTGCTAACCATACCTTACACTGTACCCCATACCTCTACTACTGTTGCTACCATCACGTTGTACGCTATTTCCTTCACCTCTCTATTGTGCTCCCACCACTTATACGCTGCTCCACCACCTTACTCGTGTACCACCCCCTCTACTATGCTGCTACCCCCACCTATACTGCTGCTAAAACCCACCTCTACTATGCTGCTACCACCACCTCTACAACTGTAAACATCCCCTTACTACGGCTGCTACCACCACCTCTCTAGCTGTCCAACCACCTATATGCTGCCCCACCACCTCTACAACTGTATCCATCCCCTTTTACTATGCTATCCACACCTCTACTACTGTACTCCCCCCCTCTACACAGCTGCTACCACCCCCTTTACTACTGCTGCTCCACCCCTTTACTACGTTGCCCTCCCCTCAACTACTGTGTCCATCACTCTACTACTGCTACTCCATCACCTTATACTCTGCTACCCCCCTTTAACTACTGCTACCCCACCTCTAAACTGTATCCTCACCTCTACTACTGCTACTACCACACCTCTACTTGCTGCACCCCACCTTATAATGCGCTCCACCCCTCTACCACTGCATTACCATCATATATGCTACTACATCCCTCTACTTGCTACTACCATCACTCTACTACTGCGCTACCCCCACCTCTATATGCTATTACCACCCCTCTACTATGCGCTACCACAACCCCCATACTCTGCTACCATCCCCTCTACTATGCTATTACTATCCCCTTACTACTGTTGCCCAACCACCTCTATACTGTTTTACCTCACCTTTTCCTGCTGCTCCAAAACACTTCTACTAATGTTGTCCCACCCCCTTATATGCTACTCCCATCATCCCTTTGCTCTACCATCACTACATGCTCTAACCATCCCCTTACTACGTTTTTCCCATACTACTACTGCATCCCATCATATACTGCCTTATACTACTCTGCTGCTACCATCCCCCTTCTACTGTACCCCTTTCACATCTGCTGCCCCTCCCTTACACTGCTTTACCTCACCTTACTACGCTCTCCACCCCTTACTACTGCTGCTCCCAACACTTTATAATGTCCTACCCCCACCTCTACTATGCTACTACCATCATACTACTGCTAAAACCATCCCCTCTACTATGTTTGTGCTAAAAACCCTCTATACTGTGCTCCCATCCCTTTACTGCTGAAAATACCTCTACTACTCTGCTACCACCACCTCTACTACTGTACACAATCCTATATGCTCTCCCAAAAACCTCTACTACTGCTTTACCATCCCTTACATGTATACCATCACCTCTATAAGCTGCTACCATCACCTCTCTCTGCTACTCCCATCCCCTCTATACTGCACTACCATACCTTCTATACTGCGCTACCATCACCTTACTATGCTGCACCACACTACTAGCTACTACCTCACCTCTACTACTGCTGCTCCCATCCCCTTTCTATATGCACTACCATATCTTATATGCTATACCATCACCTTTACTACTGCTACTCCCACACCTCTACTACTGCTACTCCATCACCTCTATACTGCTAAAACCATCCCCTCTCTACTGCTACTACCCCACCCTCTACACTGTACACCATCACCTCTTACTGCTACTAATCACCTCATTACTGTATCCCCACTTCTACTACTGCTACTACCATCCTTCTCTACTGCTACTACCACCAAATTATACTGCTATACCACCACTTTCTACACTGCCTACCACCCCTATACTTCACCACATCTATATACTACCCCAATCCTCTACTACTATACATCTATATGCGCACCCCCCCTCACTACTCCACCAATCTACTACTGTTGCACCCCCTCTACTACTATCACCACATCTACTACTACCATCCCCTCTACTATATCACCACATCTACTACGCTGTACACCCCCCTTATTACTACAGTTGGCCATCGCTAATCCGCTCCCCGGGACCTGTAGGGTGCCAGATTAGTGAGCCTGAATTTTATTCACCCCAAAAAAATAGAAGACTTGCTTTTTTTGCCCCCCACTGATTTTTTGTAAAAACTGCATAATAATGTAACCCATTGGGACTATGTATTGCGATTTGGCCTTGGACGGGGTGATGCATTTGTTTATTCTGAACTGAGAAAAATATTTCCCCTCTTTGAGCTAAAATTTTAAGGTACGTACTTTCCGGGTGAAATCAATCAAAATTTTATCTACTTCTGTAATTTCGTGTATAGGGCAAGGAGGAATAACATCTTGAGGAGTGAGGAAGAGCAGTTGTAGGTGGGGAATTTGTGAGGAGTAGGTAAAATGAAAGGGGGGGAAAGGGAGCCGGATTGAGGGATAAAAATAGAAATGTTAAAAACAGGGGGGGATATATTTTGGGGTTTTGGTGCAAATTTTTTAATAAATGTATGGAAGAAGGTAAGGTACCTAGGGTTTTGGGGGAGCATGCTTGTTCCCTTTTTATAAAGGCAAAGGGGGACAAAAAAAGAGTGTAAAAAATTTTAGGGGGATAGTTGTGGAGTATACCTGGTAAAGTTATGGTAGAGTTATTATTGAAAGAATTAAGAGTAAGACGGAGAATAGGATAGCAGATAAACAAAGAGGCTTTAGGAAAGGTAGGGGGGGGGGTTGTGGACCGGTGTTTACAGTGAAACACATAATGAACAGTACAGTGGACCCCCGGTTACGATATTTTTTCTTTCCAGAGTATGTTCAGGTGCCAGTACTGACCGAATTTGTTCCCATAAGAAATATTGTGAAGTAGATTAGTCCATTTCAGCCCCCCAAACATACACTTACAAACGCACTTACATAAATACACTTACAAAATTTGGGCCCGCATTGGGAGGTGATCGTTAAGTGGGGGTCCACTGTTTTTAGATAAGCTAAAGAGGTCTTTGTTGCATTTATGGATTTGGAAAAGGCGTATGACAGGGTGGATAGGGGGACAATGTGGCAGATGTTGCAGGTGTATGGTGTAGGAGGTAGGTTACTGAAGGCAGTGAAGAGTTTTTTAAACGAGGATAGTGAGGCTCAAGTTAGAGTATGTAGGAAAGAGGGAAATTATTTCCCAGTAAAAGTAGGCCTTAGACAAGGATGTGTGATTAAACCGGGGTTGGGTTTAATATATTTATAGATGGTGTTGTAAGAGAAGTAAATGCGAGGGTCTTGGCAAGAGGCGTGGATTTAAAAAGATAAAAATCACACATAAAGTGGAGTTGTCACAGTTGCTCTTTGCTGATGACACTGTGCTTTTGGGGAGATTCTGAAGAAGTTGCAGAGATTGGTGGATGAATTTGGTAGGGTATGAAAAAGAAGAAAATTAAAAGTAAATACAGGAAAGAGTAAGTTATGGATAACAAAAAGATTAGGTGATGAAAGATTGGATATCAGTTTGGGAGAGAGTAGGGAGGAGGTGAATGTATTCAGATATTGGGAGTGGACGTGTCAGCGGATGGGTCTATGAAAGATGAGGTGAATCATGAATTGATGAGGGGAAAAGGGTGAGTGGTGCACTTAGGAGTCTGTGGAGACAAAGAACTTTGTCCTTGGAGGCAAAGAGGGGAATGTATGAGAGTATAGTTTTACCAACGCTCTTATATGGGGGGCGAAGCAGGGGTGATGATGTTGCAGCGAGAGAAGGCTGGAGGCAGGGAGATGTCATGTCTGAAAGGGGAATGTGTGGTGGGGAATATAATGCAGAGAATTCGTAGTTTGGAAGTTAGGAGGAGGGGCGGATTACCAAAACTGTTTCCCAGGGGCTGAGGAGGGTTGTTGAGGTGGGTTTGGACATGTAGAGAGAATGGAGCAAACAGAATGACTTTAAAAATTGTATCAGTCTGTAGTGGAAGGGAAAGGGGGGGTAGGGGTCGGCCAAGGAAAGGTTGGAGAGGGGGTAAAGGAGGTTTTGTTGTGCGAGGGGCTTGGACTTCCAGCAGGCATCGTGAGCGTGTTTGATAGGAGTGAATGGAGACAAATGGTTTTTAATACTTGATGTGCTGTTGGAGTGTGAGCAGAGTAACATTTATGAAGGGGTTCAGGGAAACCGGCAGGCCGGACTTGAGTCCTGGAGATGGGAAGTACAGTGCCTGCACTCTGAAGGAGGGGTGCTAATGTTGCAGTTTAAAAACTGTAGTGTAAAGCACCCTTCTGGCAAGACAGTGATGGAGTGAATGATGGTGAAAGTTTTTCTTTTTCAGGCCACCCCGCCTTGGTGGGAATCGGCCAGTGTGATAATAATAATAATAATTCTGTAATATATCTTCCATTCTATCAAATGAGACCAAAAAACAAGAATACAACCATACAAAAAATACACCACAAATTCAGGTTGACACCATAAACACAGTCGCAGGTTTTTTCTCATTATGCACTGTGTGTTACAGAGTATTTTTTATATAATGCACACTTACCACACAGACCTACTCTCTCATATGTAGGC